CTGCACCCCTGAAACACACAGCACACACACTGCACCCCTGACACTCTCAGCACCATCACACACACACAGCACCCCTGACACTCTCAGCACCATCACACTCACACTGCACCCCTGACACTCTCAGCACCATCACACACACACTGCACCCCTGACACTCACAGCACCCTCACACACACTGCACGTCTGACACAGCACAAACAAAATGCACCCCTAACACTCACAGCACCCTCACACACACACACTGCACCCCTGACACTCACAGCACCCCCTGACACTGCACGTCTGACACAGCACAAACAAAATGCACTCCTAACACTCACAGCACCCTCACACACACACACTGCACCCCCCAGACACACACACAGCACACACACACTGCACCCCTGACACTCACAGCATCCTCACACACACACACTGCAGTCTGGGCAGCACAAAACAAATGCACCCCAACACTGTGAGTACCCCACACACACACACACTGCACGTCTGACCCTCACAGCACACACACTGCACCCCTGACACTCACAGCACCCTCACACACACACACTGCACACCTGACACGCACAACACCCTCACACACACACTACACACCTGACACAGCACAAACAAAATGCACCCATAACACTCAGAGCACCCTCACACACACACACTGCACCCCTGACACACACAGCACACACACTGCACCCCTGACACTCACAGCACCCTCACACAAACACTGCATGTCTGACACTCATAGCACGCACAAAATGCACCCCTGACACTCACAGCACACATACTATTACACACCCCCTTTGGACACTCACAGTACACACACAAAATGCACCTCTTTAACACTCACAGCACTCTCACACACACACACTGCACCCCTGACACTCACAGCACCCTCACACACACACACACTGGCACCTCTGACACTCATTATCACACACACACAGCACCCCTGACACTCACAGCACCCTCAAACACACACTGCACCCCTGACACTCACAGCACGCACACACTGCACCCTTGACACTCACAGCACCCTCACACACACACATTGCACCCCTGACACGCACAGCACACACACTGCACCCCTGACACTCACAGCACCCTCACAAACACACTGCTCCCTTGACACGCACATCACACACCCTCACTTACACACACTGCACCCCTGACACTCACAGCTTCCTCACATGCATACACTGCACCCTCACACACAGCTTCCTCACATGCACATAGCACCCTCATGCAAACACAGCACCCACTCACACACAGCACACACACACTGCACCCATCACACACACAGCACCATTACCCACATAGCACCCTCACGCAAACACAGCACCCATCACTCACACACTGCACCCCTCTCTCACACACACTACACCCCTTACACACACACACAGAGCACCCTCACACACACTGCGCAATATGCTTTCCTGGCATTTTTGTCTCCTGGTATCCCAACTATGGAGACACCAGAGACAAATTTCAAGCAAACACAGTGCAAGCATGTTATTAAATTTGCTTGCGCTGTGCAGAACAAATACAGGGTATTTTTCTCATGCCAGAGCTCTTCAGCAGAGCTCTGCGCATGGTCTACCCTGGAAGAGCATTGAACCAACATGCTCACTTTGTGATGGGGCGTGCTTGTCGTTGGTGATGACAAAACACACCCTATCTGGCCCCGCCCCCTTTTTAGTGGGCCACTGTAATTAAAAAATGCACGGGCCGAATTTTCTTCCCAGTCCGGCCCTGTCCACTGGCCTGCTTTTTGGGCACACTAAGGAACTGTCCCCAACAATCATAGCACAACCACATCATACGGTATGTTCAGGGCACTTCCTTCATGTCCTGCTATAAGTGGGCTGCCTAGAATGATGGACAGACTGATCTGCCATTAACTCGGGTGGGCCTGCATTTCTGGAGGAAGGTCCTTCCCTTGTGTGCGGAGCTGTGATGAAATTGCATCACTGGTCCACCCCTTTACCTACCTCCTACTAGCTCCAAATTCTTAAGACACCAACGTTGTGAGATATGCTTTCCTATCCAGTAGACATGATTTAAAAGTACTCAGGATAGCCAATGAGAGATCATTGGTAAGCTGACTTGCTGATGGGAGTCTGCCTCACACCTAGTCTTTTTCCACTTATTATCTGCACCTTGTCCCTATTAAACAGCTATAAAATACTAGATAATGAAAGTGCAGGGACTGGATTCAAGTCAGCAGCTCAGCTCACACTGATCTGTCATTGACTGAGTTACAATTTGTACATTCCAATCCTGATATTCCAATCAGTACATTTGTACATTCCAACCAGATGCATTACAGTTGTATTGGTGCCCAGAGTATTCCTTTAACCCCCTGCTATATTCATGAGGTTCCTCTTGAAAAAACCCTACACCACAGAATGTATTTAAAAGCTGTCACACTTCCCTTTCTCTGGTGCTATACTATTGTAATCTCTGTCATCTCTTCTTAAAATGAAACTGTGTCTCTCGTTTCATGCTCTATGTCATTGTTAGTGCTAATTATATAAGTATTTAAATTTAAAATAAGAGTAAATGTCTTTTAAAGGCTTCCAGTAGTATCTACTTGATACTGATCAGAATTTGGGTTCTGCTTATTCACAACTCAAAGGGACATTATAGTAGTTGTTCTGGTGAGTATAATCATTCCCTGCAGGCATTTTCATGCAAACACTGCCTTTTCAGAGAATAGGCAGTGTTTACATTGCCCCCTAGGGACACCACCAGTGGCCACTCCTCAGATGGCCAATGGAGGTGCTTCGTGGGGCAGTGCTGCACAGTAGGCAGCACTGCAGCAGACGCTGAATTGTCCTCATAGAGTTGCATTAATTCAATGCGCCTCTATGAATAGGTGCTGATTGGCCTAAAAGGTGTTTGGCCCCACCACCATCCTGCCTCCTTGCAGATTTCAGCTAATATCTGTCTAAAAATCAGCAATTCTGATGATGTCACCAAGGAAAAGGGTTGGGGACAGGGACAGTGCCGGCAGACCCAGGCAGCACTGGAAATTCCTTTAACCAGAGGTTAGAGGTTAAAAGTTATTACCTACAGGAGTTCTTCTGAATAAAATTAGTTTGAAATTCCTCCATACAGTTAAGGACATATTGATGCCTAGTATCTGCTGTTACCTATGTTGTACTGATAAAAATACTGGTTAAAATGTCCCATATGACTAACGTAGTATATGCTTTCTCTACTCTTGACAAAGACGCATCGTAGTGCTGAAACGCACGTCGAGGAGGACGCCATTATAGGAGATTTTTATTTTATTAGGGTTTCCTAGGTGCTCTGCCATCATGCACTTTGCCAGTATAGTACGCTTAGCGTCTTTTTATTTTAGAGCTGCTTCGAAGCAGCTAGAGAGATTTAGGGTGTGTTAGGATCTGTGTGGGACTGATTCTGATTTTTATATGGTTGGGATTTACCTTTACCTCTAAGCACCTCTCATACCACCCTGGGTATGAGAGTAAGGTTTATGCATTAGGACCTTTAGAAAGGTATATCAATAGGGAGTCTATGGGGTATGCTGTAACCCTGGTTTAGGTGCCTTCAGACACAGTATTTACCTAGGTTAGCTACGTGGACTAATCCCAGATACCGCTCATATATATTTATTTTGATCCAGCCCTTCTAGATGACTTTTTTTACCTTTTTTTTGCAACTATAATCATGGTTGTGGTTTGTAGTGGGGAAGGGGTAGGTAATTATTGCCATGAACTCCTACCCTTTAAATGCCATATTCACCCTTTTTTAAGTGGAGTTTGGTCTAATTATTAAGGTGGGGGTCTATACACCTACCCTCCTGTTTCTAATTCCATTATCTTCCATTATCTCTATCATTGTATCTACCCATACCATTTATTCACCTTTCTGAATATCTCTAATATAAAATATCTAATTTTGTGTCTAAATGCTAAGCTTTATTCTTCCAATCCCCATAGACTGCTGCTATTTAATTGGCCACATTTGAGCCTTACATTTGGAATAACAATTTATTACTAAACAGCTGTCTTTCTTGATACTTTCTTTCTACTTGGGTTGATCAAGAATTAATATATTTTCTCACGCTTGCTGTGATTGATATATGCAAGCCAGACGGGCAGACCCCCTAGGTTTCTCCTTTTTAATATTACTTTCACAAGTCACTTTTGTGATTTTCACTTTCTATTTATTTTCTTTTTCATTATTATCTAGATATGCCCTTTAAATATTAATAAAGTTTATATTTAAATTTTTGGTTTGTTACCAATTATAGTGGATTATACATGTTATATGTGGGTAATATAACCTTTTTTTTTGAGAATCGTTACCCATAGTGTTTTGACTTGGGACCCCCTTTTTTTTCAAAGAAAGATTTATTATTCTTTTTTTCAATTATGCTTTCTCCCTAAATATTAAAGGGACACTATAGTCACCTGAACAACTTTAGCTTAATGAAGCAGTTTTGGTGTATAGAACATGAACCTGCAGCCTCACTGCTCAATCCTCTGCCATTTAGGAGTTAAATCCCCTTGTTTATGAACCCTAGTCACTCCTCCCTGCATGTGACTTGCACAGCCTTCCATAAACACTTCCTGTAAAGAGAGCCCTATTTAGGCTTTCTTTATTGCAAGTTCTGTTTAATTAAGATTGTCTTATCCCCTGCTATGTTAATAGCTTGCTAGAACCCTGCAAGAGCCTCCTGTATGTGATTAAAGTTCAATTTAGAGATTGAGATACAATTATTTAAGGTAAATAAGATCTGTTTGAAAGTGAAACCAGTTTTTTTTCATGCAGGCTCTGTCAATCATAGCCGGGTAGGTGTGGCTAGGGCTGCATAAACAGAAACAAAGTGATTTAACTTCTAAATGACAGTGAATTGAGCAGTGAAATTGCAGGGGAATGATCTATACACTAAAACGGCTTTATTTAGCTAGAGTGATTTAGGTGACTATAGTGTTCCTTTAAAATATGATTCTTCAATAACAGTCTGTTTGCCTACAGTTCTCAAAGGAAGGCTTGGTTGCAATAACAGTTTTGTACCCCAAGTCTTCTTTTGAAAACTGCATGCAAAGAAATAAAGGGAAAATGGTTGTTTGAATAACATAATTTTTAAATAACTGGATTATACAGAGATTAAAAATAGAAACTGTTATTGGGTCATACGCTGGCTGCAGTGGTAAATATTTCACATCATTACATGTGCCATTTCTTCTTGTACTTTTCCATGCATTCCTTTATGGTGATGTCTAGCTGAGAGACTCCAAATTGTTGTATGATCTGACACGAAGAATGCAGTTTTACCTTCTGTACTTGATGGGTCTGGAGTACATTAGAATTTGCGCACAATACAGAGTGATTAGCGTCCTGTATATATGCACACATACAAATACACACGTACATGATAGACACACACTTATATAACAGACAAACTGATAATTCTAGTATCTTGTAAACAAATTTTGGAACAAGAATATTTTGGGGGAAATCTTTCCTTTATCAAGTCTAAAACCTTTCTTTAGTCTTGGTAAAGTTAAGTTCTCCTTAAAGCTTGTCATTAATGTACGTGCTCACGATTTCTACTCACACTCATCACTAGCCACTGGCCAAGTAAAAAATTAAGCTGTGCAGAGTGAGTTTTCTATAGAGCCTCCAAACTTGCAGTGGCTAGTAACTTTTAAGGTCTGGCTAATAGTTCTAATACTAATATGTAAGCCCTAATATATAATACTATAATTTATGTAAAACAAGGGAGATAAGGGACATATGGTTGAAATCAAATCCTTCTTGGAATAGTATCTAATCAATAGATCATGATTGCGCAAGTTAAAATTATATAGTATTGTTATGATTAAAAACACATTTAAATTGATCTTCTTCCAAATGAAAAAAGCACAAAAGCTAAGCTAATGAGTCCTATGTTATAAAACATGGCACTGTATACAAGAAACTTTGAATGGTAACTGTCATTTATTTCATCTAGCAACTCATGCATATGGCTTATTGCTTTCTTTTTTTTCATGGTTTTGTTGTGTTTTGATATTATATAAAAGTAAGCCTGGCCATCATTTTTAGTGCAAAAGCTATATATTCCTGACTATTAGTTGGATGCCTATTCATGGAACAATTCTTAAAGGAACACTTCAAGTGCTCAAACCACTAGTGTTGTAGTTGTTATGTTGCCAGGATTGTCCTCCAAGTGTAAGTATTCAAAAGGTTTAAGATCAATTTGACAACTTAACTTGGATCAGCTGGGCAGCCCAGTGGAGGTAGCTCCTGGCCTTGGAGGCACAGTGGACTCCAGGTAATAGCTTATTAGTTGAGAGCATCCAGCTGACTCAGCCAATGAGCTCATGAGAGCTAACAAATGTTACTTGCTTTTAGGCTCTAGTCTAGAAGATGTTACTTGTAGTGTTTCTTTAATTATTATTAGCATTTATATAGTGCCAGCATACTCCGTAGCGCTTTACAATATTATAAGAGGAGGGATTTAACAATCAATGAGACAATTACAAAAACTTACAGGAACAATAGGTTGAATAGGACCCTGCTCAAACGAGCTTACAGTCTATAGGAGGTGGGACATAAAACCCAACAGGACAGGAGGTAGTAATCAAACAAGGTTAGTCTGGGAGACCATAAGCTTTCCTAAAGAGATGGGTTTTAAGACACTTCTTAAATGATTGAAGACTAGGGGAGAGTCTGATTGTTGTAGGCAGGCTATTCAAAGAAAGGGGGCCGCCCACGGGAAGTCCTGCAAGCACGAGTTGGCCGTCTGGGTGCGAGTAGCGCACAGGAGAAGGTCATGGCCATGATCTCTTAAAATATTTCAGATTGAATGAAGATTGAATTTAATGTCTTTATACCATTCTTGTGTACTGCTCGGTTTACTATTCATGTAATGTGGTACTATGAATTATTACTGCCTGTAAAAATATAGTAATTTCAAATTAATAGCCTTTTTCTTCAATATTTTAAAAAAAACCCCATAGATTTCCCATTGTGTTGACTTGGTTTCTTAAGGAAAGGGTATCTTTACTAAGTACTTTAGTGTTTACAGCTATTATTGAGCCAGTTACTTTCTCTCAGCTAACACCGAGTAGCATGGGAGGACCTGGCAGAGAGGAGGGGAAGGGGTCCGGGCGGGAGATTCTTCGACTCCCAAAAGCCTCAGCCAACAGACTGGACTCAATGGAAGCCACCTTTCTGGAACAGGACGGTGGCTAAAAATGTTACATTTGCATATGGGTCTATCTGTGTATCTGTCTTCTATGTGTGTCTGTGCATCTATTGGTGTCTATCAGTGCATTTCTCTATTTGTTTGTATCTCTCTCTGTGTCTATGTGTGCCTGCATTTGTGTGTCTATTAGTGCATTTCTCTGTTTGTGTGCATTAATCTCTGTGTCTGTATCTATCTATCTATCTATCTATGTGTTTGGGTATCTGTATGACTGTATGTGTCACTGTCTCTGTATGTGTCTGTATCTGTTTGCCTGGATGTGTATCTTGCCTGGATGTGTGCCTGCATGCCTGTCATTGTGTGCCTCTGTGTATCTGTATGTGTGTCAGTGTTTGTATTTGTATGAGTGTGATTATGTATATGTCTGTGTGTTTGTGTGTGTCTGTGTATCTGTCTTCGTGTCCAGATATTTGCATGTCGGTTTCTTTGTATCTGCATGTCAGTGTGTATATCTGTGTGTACATCTGTAAATCAGCGTGTGCATTGCAGCGTATATATGCTTACATCTCAGTATTCAAACTCCAACAGTACACAAAAATAAACCCCTGCATTCATATGTCAACACTAAAAACACACCCCCCTACATTCAAAGGCAAACACTACACACAAGTAAACCACTGCTTTTAAATGGCAACAGTACATAAAAACACACAGCACACATACACCCCTACATTCACATATATTCTCCGTACAAAAATAACATAATCTCTCACACACACACACATACATGTTTTCTATTGCTATGTTAGTATGTACATGTGCAGAAACAGGCCATTATATTAATGATACAATTATCAATGTATACAGAAAGGGTACACATAGATTGTAAACTCATCTAAAAATCCTGTTTCTGTAGTTGTACAGTGCTATGGAATATGTTTACACTATATAAATGCTAATAATAAATGAAATAATATGCTGCAAATCCTGCGGATTATATGTTATTACGTGTGATATAAAAGACATGTTAATTTACTAAACAGTGATTTGCGGTGAGTTATTCACTACACTTGTCACTCTACTATTCTATTTATTAGTTACATATCATGTTTAATTGTTATATAACTAGCCCACTATTTCATGAAGATGTATTCTACTCTTACACATATTTATGTAAATGTCATTTAAGTTTGATTATGTACCAAACGGTGAGTTTTAAAATGAATACATTCCCAAGTTCCTTTAAAAAGTAAAATTTTAGACGGGCAGTTCTCATTTCCAAGAGTCCAAGATGCCACACAACCCATACAAACAAGCATTAACCTATACTTACCTTTACTGGACTGCCTTTGTTTTTTGCCATTTTGCTGAAAAGTGATTTGAACAAAGCAGAAGACGCACAAGAACAGACAGACTGCTTTGTACGCCATGGTGCATCCAGCCCTTTGAAGCTCAAAAAATTCTTGCACTTTCTTTAATACGCCTATAATGAAAAACAGGTGGCATGCAAACTCTTTCCAGATCCCAAAGAAGGCTTTTTCCCAAAACCGTAGGCTTAGTGAGTGACAACAACAAGCATGGTCAAAATATGTATTTGTACAATAAATTGTTCCTATGGAGAAAATACAGAAAAATAGTTAATTAAAAGTAATCATACTTTATGTTTTATAATGCAGGCTTCAAATTTCTATCACTAATTTAAATTTTTTTATTTCTGTGTTCATTATATTTCTTTTTAATTACAATCCGTTGTAGTGCAATACTGAATTAAACTTCCTGTAGATAACTTATGTGTATTTTTTTGTTCTTTCTTGCTGAGACTAAATATACATTAAACACAAAATGCTGGGTTCATTAGGAGCCAAGAAAATTCTATTTTAAAGTAGAAACACTGTGCTAATTCCAATTTGCTCCAAATGAATTCATCCACTTAACCCATTAGTGACTGAAGCTTTTCCAAGATTCCATGCCTGGCTTTCTTTTTTAAATGGAATCATAAACATATTTTAAAATTATTTTATCACATTGTACAGCGCTACAGAATCTGATGGTGCTATATAAATAATAAAATAATAATAAAGGGAAGATAGGATTTTGTTTTCTTCTCATATGCCTGTTCTTTCTTCTCATTTTGGCTTTTGTCTCTTAAATTACTATAATTCCCAATATTTACAGGCTTGCTACCATCCTGGGAGGGAACATGTCAGTAGAGGGCATGCCAGTGACACAGTGGGGAGAAGCTCTCTTCCCTCCAATAAATGGGAAATGGGGGGCAGTGCCATCTTAACAGCATTAACTACTCACAGGAATAAAAATCTAAATTATCGATAACATTAAGCGTATCTCTATTGATACCTCCAAACATGCAATATATTCACAGTCTGCTGAATACACACACACAGAATGCAGAATACACTCAGGCTGCTGTATACACACACGCACTGCTGAACACACACACTGCTGAATACACACATGCAGGCTGCTGAATACACACACCATGTGTGTGTATGTGAGGGATGAGATGTTTGTGAGGGGTGCACTGTGTGTATGAGAGGGGTGCTGTGTGTGTGTATGTGAGGGGTGCGCTGTGTGTGAGTGGTGCACTGTGTGTGTGATGGATGATGTGTGAAAGGTGCTGTGTATGAGGGGTGCTGTCTGTGTGAGATATGCTGTGTGTGTATGGGGTTGCATAGGGATAAGGGATTTTTGTGTTTTGGTATTTTTATTTAAAAAAAAAAATCTTCATATCCCCCCATGTTTTTTTGGTGAAGGAGGGGGGACACTGCCAGCTCTGGTGGTCTGGTGGTGAGTAGTATTGAGTGAAAGCCTGCAACTCCTCTGGCTGCAGGCTGTCTTCACTCCTCCCATGAGCAGAATGCTGTGTCAGAGCTTTGCTACGGCAATGCTCAGACCAGCCTGCTCGCGGGAGGAGCGCTCTGCCTCCCAGATCCTACCTCCCTCTCACTAACGAAGAGCCTTTGGGCCAGTAAGGGAGATGTTTGATTTCCTTACTGGTCCAAGAGGGCCCAAAGCAAGTGAACAGGGCTGGTTCTCTGTGGGTCGGTAGGAGACAAAGAATCCAAGCCGAAAGACGGCCCTGTGGGGGGCTAGCAGGCTGCAAGTCACTGTAGCTCCCGAGGAATTATGCTTTTAATGCTAAATACTTACATTTGTTCACATTCTTTCTTTAGATCAAGTTTTTGATGTTGCCTGATATCATGTGATTCTGGGTCCCAGAGAGTGACTCAAGGACTTTGAGACTGCGACCTGGCTTCGCTTGATGACCTGGCTGCTGTGCATGGCACCTTCCTGGTCACATTCCCCATCCCCTTTGGACTGGGTGGTTATCCCAGTCACCACTGAAGAGGCTGCACGTACTGCCAATCTGGGACACATCCAAGGACTCAAATGCCTATCCATCAAGATGGCTGCAAGACTGCGTTGTGCTGGCACATGCACGCAATTGAGAGACCTAATGGCCAAGATCAATCGGCTGCTTGAGAACTTCCTGGCACAGATAGGCCTACGATCAATAGCACTTTTATCTCAACCCCACCGGCTGGTGAAGGACTAATGATCCACCCACACTCACGCTTTATTTCTGCAGAGGAGCCTTCCTGGGCCGAGATCTAACCAGGGACGAAGATCCTCTCACCTTCCACACCCTTGGAGGGCTTTGCGGTGGAGCCACCAAATACCTCTGATTTCGCGGCACAAAATGACAGTTACCTTGGACTTACTCCGTGTCCAGGCCAGTGGAGCATGGATGATATGTCCGATGCAGGCCTGGTACTGGGGTGACATAATTCTGGTGCTCCCGCGTCAAAACAGCACTAAGCTTCGGCTGATAAAGTCTTTGCCATTTATCAGACAGGGCATGGGCCTACCAATCCTACATCCAGCAATACCCTAATGTGACAGCAAGTTTAATTAAATCATTGTTGGGGGCCTTATATGTATGTCCCGGCTTCCTAAATATGTCGGGCGGCCTCCCAGGGGAATACTTCTTAGTCTATTCTTTGACATCAAACAACACACTAAATAGAGATGCAGCCAGTCTCAGTGTAAAGACCTTCCTGGGACTAGCTACATCACCTGGAAATAAATATAGCGGTGCAATGAAATAAGGACCTAACTACCACATTGATAGTAGATACTGTACGAGACAAGCTATCCAAATAGTCAAACAAAAATAATAATAAATACAGGTGGTACTAATACTTCTATGCCAGTCACAGAGGAAAATTATAGGAATATAGATACAATATACATTATAGTGTCCCAAACCCAAATATAGGCTTTATTATAATGTGCTAATGGGAATGGGAAACACCAGATATCTATATCCCAATCAGGGGAATCCTTCTAAGTGATGTCTAGTATAATAATCTAATAAAGATCCAGAGTAGGACTACCTTAAGTCCAAATACCAAAAAGATAGATAATACTAAAAGCCCTATCAATGATATAGTATACAAAGAAGGGCTTGGTTATAGTTCCATGATTATTGGAAAATAGCTATAAAATTCAGGATCCAATATCATATGAGGAGAGGTATAAAATAGATAAAGAGTAGAAAAGTCAGTCTCAAACAGACTGACAAAATTCAATTATAAAGCCTCTCTCCCTGTTAGTTGGGGTTAGGCCCCTTTCTGAGACACCTGGAGTCTCTCATCGGTACTTTAGTCTCTGTGTAGGACCAACTACTACCCCGTTTCTTTTTAGGGTGGTTCTAGTGGTATATACACAGAGCCTTTGAAGTTTCTTCTTCTTTCTCCGTTTTATTCTTTGACATGTCATATTTTTTTTGTATGCAGTCTACTAGCATAACACTCTTGTCTTCTCTATATATTGAAACACAGTGCGGTATCTTTTATATTTCATGTTCATTCCACATTCTTGTATTGTTCTTTATACTAATTAAACTATTACTGCAAGCCTATATGCTTTACTCAGCACTGCAAAAATAAAGAATTAAAAAATATATTAAAAAATTGTGGAATTTTCTTTTGTTTCCTGCGTCTGCAGAGCAACCTTGGATGGTGGGAGAGACATACAGAATTATGAATATCCTTATCAGGGCCAGTGCAGGGATTTTTGTCACTCTAGGCAAAAAAGATTTTGCCGCCCCATTCGCTTCACCTATAATGTGACATCACAATGCCCAAACAGGGGAGGGCTGGCAGCCTTAGGCCTGGGGGGCAAAACCAGTCAAGTGGCCCATTGCACCACCAATATGATCTGCCATATGAACTAGTGCCAGTGCTGCACACAGTGTGTGTTTACATTAAAAAGCCTGCAGGGACAAACTATAGACACCAGAACAACTTTATTAAGCTGCAGTGGTTCTGGGGACTATAGTGTCCATTTAATGTGAGGTAAATTAGAGATTAGTGTCACTAATAATATACTAGATTGCCTACTTACAATCAGATGAGGATGGTGATGGGCTCTGGCTGCAGTCTGGCTCCACTGGTCTGGTGTAGAACAGGATCTCTGGAGGCTGTTTGTAACTGTGGTCACAAAATTCAATGTTCTGGGAGAACGGGAAGCAGCTTATTTTTTTGGGGCCTCTTACATAGCTCAAGGTCTGGGCCCCAGGGCCTGACGGTGAGTATGCCCATAAAGCCCACCCATAAGTCCACCTACATGTTCCACCCATGAGTTCGCTCACAGTGAGTGGAGTGTGTAGGGGATGTGATATGTGTTACTGTAGAGGATCCAATGTGTGTGCTTAGGGAATGTAGTGTATAGAGATACCAGTTTGTGTAGGTGATGCAGTGTGTTTGTGTGTAGTGGAAGCAGTGTGTTTTTGTGTAAGGGATAGAAAGCAGTGAGTGTTTGTGTATAAGGGATGTATTGTGTGTTTCTTGTTGTGTGTAAGGGATGCATTGTGTGAATCTGTGTTTGTATGCATAAGGGATGCAAAGTGTGTTTCTGTGTATGTAAGGGATGCAGTGTGTGTGTCTGTAAGGGGTGCGTTGAGTGTGTGTAAGAGATGCATTGTGTTTCTGTGTGTGTGTGTAAGAGAAGCAGTGTGTGTTTGCATGTGTGTGTAAGGGATGCATTGTGTGTTTCTGTGTATATGTGCAAAGGATGCATTGTCTTTATGTGTAAGGGTTGCATTGTGTGTTTCTCTGTGTGTAAGGGAAGCATGTTGTGTTTCTGTGTGTATAGGGATGCATTGTGTGTGTGTGTGTGCGTGTGGTGTGAAAGAGCTCCCTGTCCCCCTGTCCTATAGAGCTCTCCCTTCCATTCCTTAGAGATCTCCCCTGCCCCTTAGTGGTCTCTCCTCTCCCCCCACCTCCCTTAGTGGTCTCCTTTTCTCCCTGACTTTCCATTAGTGGTCTCTCCTCTCCCCCCACCCTCCCCTAGTGGTCTATCCTCCACCCCCCTCCTTTAGCAGTCTCTCCTCACACCCCTCCCCTAGTGGTCTCTCCACCGCCCCCTCCCTCCTTTAGTGGTCTCTCCCTCCCCTACGTTCTCATCTCCCACCCCCCATGTTCTCCTCTTATTCCCCCTCCCCGTGTTCTCCTCTTCTTCTCCCCCGTCCCTGTAATCTCTTCTTCTCCTCCCTTGTAATCTTCTCTTCTTCTCCCCCCTCCCTGTAATCATCTCCCCCCTCCCTCCCTGTAATCTTCTTCTTCTCCCGCCTCCCTCCAATCTTCTCCACTCCCTCCCTGTAATCTTATCCCCCCTCCCTGTAATCTTCCCCCCTCCCTGTAACCTTCTCCACTCCCCCCTCCCTCCTTGTAATCTTCTTCTTCTCCCCCCTCCCTCCAATTTCTCCATT